TGTAATCAAGCTTTGCATGAAAAATGTTCATAGGTCTGTTCCATGCACTCTGGAAGTAGTCTGAGCAGTTTCGGCTAGAACCGAGTTATGCCGTCGTTCTTCTTGGCCTTTTGTTTCCGTTCATTAAAGAATTCCCACACACTGGAGATGCTTATTGTTGACCCATTGGGGATGAAATCATAATTATGTAAATTAATTTCTTTATCATTTGTTTGTATATAAATTTGGTTTATTCTCCTCCAGTCGATTGCTGCAGGGCAACAGAAGCGAAGGAACCTGGAAACATAAGCTGTCATTTCTCCGGATTCACGCCGTATAGTCTCACTGTTTCCACATTTATAGTAGCCTGGAGAGCCTTTTAAGTATATCATGCCTTTGTGGTATCCGTGAATCCGGACATATGACAAGAGGTTGTTATACTAGTCGGCGGTATCGAAAACTATATATATGCCTATCGATTGGGGTATTTACACAGTTGTTGTCCTCATCGTCATACATGTATCAGAGTCAGTGACAGAGTGTCCAGATTAATGACGTCTGACGCTTTAGCGTCTCAGCATGATTTAGGCTATATCAACAGGTTCTTGTTCGACCCAACAACGTGGTACCGTTCGCGCTCACTCACTGTTGGTGCTAAAATACCACGGGTGTGTTGGCTTCTTAATAAATAGGCGCCAACGTTACTAGAATGAAGCTGACGGTGCGACTTGCCTTTGGAATCAGGAGAAATGACAGGAGATTCCAATTCTTGCCGGCTGTATCGAAACCTCGCAAATTTCTAGTTCACCTGTAATGCGGCTGTTGATTTCTGTTGAAAACACCAACTTTCTTTCATTGGCTTTAGCGAGGTATGTGATGAAAATAATGAAAATATCCTAAGACACCAACTGCGATAGTAACGCGGTGGCATCGTACGTCGCTCTTTCATCTCGCCGACCACATCCTGTACGTATCTCGTCTGGCATCAGTCGTGCTGTCAGCAGTGAACAATTTCGGATCTCGTCGGAGATCAGTCTTGCGTCTTTGCCAGAAACGCCGCATACTCGCTATCTTTCTGTCTCTGTCCAACAGAACGCGTTTTGTGTCCTCTCTTTTTTGAAACACTAACGATCAGACGGCATTGCCTCCCTCCAAATTCGCCGCTTGCATTCTCTTAATCGTGTTAACACATTTTAATTAGAAGTGACTGAGGCATAACGTAAGCAAAGCTTAAATCCTTCAAAGTCGAATTTCTCTATGTATTTGTAACCTCATTGTGTTGGGGAAGAGGGGTGGAGGTAATTTGAATGAATTTTAAGATTCGATGCTTTTTTATGCTACCGCGTTAGGTATCAAGAAACATAGGTTCCTATGTTAGGTGATGGCTACAAGCCCTGAACTTCACTGAACTGT